CCTTTTTCAGCGGTCTTGTTTGGCTGGTTGGTCATCATAGTGACTTCATTTGAGGGATGTCTCAGTTCGTTTTGACACCAGGAACCTCTGACATATACGGTGCATGAAACACCACCTGGGCGTCAGGGGGGATCTTCGTGGTAATGGACCTTCTCTACTTTTCTCTTTCTAGGAGCCTGGGAGCTTCTCTTCCATCCCTAAGGACTCTCCCTTGGGATGCCTTTTTAATTCATTGAAAACAATTTGGATTGCAAGATTTAGGAAAGGACTGATGTCCTGCAACACTGCAAGGCCTTAGTCGAATCTAACAGATCTCTTCTGCAGGCAATAGGGAAAATCGACAGAGGTACCCTAGGTCCAGGTCTTCATGGCTCTAAATCAGGACCCAGACCAAAAGGCCTCTTGCAGAATGTGTTTTACCAAATGTGTTTGGCTACTAAACTCCCTCCTGACAAATTGGATGTCTAAACAGGCCTCCTCCTGCTAGAACTCAGTTGCTGGAGGAAACACAGGCCATCCTTAATGAAAGGGTCACTGACTCTCTCTGTTCCTCCTCGTAATAGATGTGAAGGCCTCTCCCTCAATCATTTCCCAGGTTAATGGCTATAATTGAAACTAACTGTGGTTAGTCTACCTTGCGACAGGGACTTTAAGGAATATTCCCAAGCAGCTGCTGAAACTCCATTTGTTTCAGGGAAATTCTCTGTCTTCTCCGGCCTGATGTGGACTGCCTAATTCCAATAGTTAATGGGGGGCAGGGGAGAGAGAGGGCGAGAGAGAGACAGATAGAAAGAAATGGCATCTGTTGCTCTGTCCAAGGTGACAAGGTTCAGGACTGGGAATTCCCTTTGTCTACCTTCTGCTGGCAACTTGCTTCTTCCTTCCCCTCCCCCTCTTCCTCTTTCTGCACCATCTTGGGTGCGGCCTGCAGAACTGGTTCCTATACCATCCTCAGTGCCTCAGGCACCATCAACTCCTCCTCCCACCCTCAAAGTCAGAGAAGAAGAGCAACCCCCACCCATGGAATGCCCACTTCAGATTTTCCCACCAGTGTTCCAGGTTAAAAAATGGACAATGGGGAAAAATTTGTCTTAACTGGACCCAAGTGAAACATATTTGGTAAACTAATTTAAATTCTTTGGTTTAATTAAGATAGACCTGTATTTATAGTTATCAGCATTAAATATGGAACTCATCTACCTAGGCTTGCTGAAGGTCAAGTAAACTCATATTATCTCTGTTCGAATTTGTTAGCAAAATATGACTTAAAATATTGGTTAATTTTGTCTGCCCCAAAGTTTTCATGGGTAATTGTTAAGATAGCTTTCAAAGCCTTTGGTAATCTGAAACTTTAAAGTTTCTCTCACACACATTAAATGCGATTGAAATCATTGGATATCTAATGAGATAAAATACTAAAGCATTGATTACTAAACATAGGTTTGTGCTTCGACTTACTGCAGAAAAACTAAGGCTATTGGATCTGTTGGTAAACATGCTTTGTGCTTAACTGGTTTATAAATTTGTCATCTAAAGAATTCTGGTGTAACAGGTTACAGTTGGTTACTGTCTTCACTGGAGACTAAGGTTTCTGAGTTAAAATTCTGCAGAATGTAGTTAAGACTAACAGATATAAGAAAAGCAACTCTGTATGTAAAATGGAAATACAGTTTTGTTGAAGGTAAAAGAAAGTAATTTTGTCCTAAATGAGATTGGTTGTTTGCAGAGAAATGGCCTGGGACAAAATCTGAAGGCGAAGGAAAGTTGTAGGTCTGTAAAGGGAAATCTTTGGAAAGGAATTTTATGGTGGTCAGAATGGACTAAGGATGAAATGGATGGATTTTAAAAGTACACTGGTATTAGATTAAAATTCTGCTTTTTTCTCGGTTCAAAAGACAAAGTTTTCTTGGACTGTTGATCTGCTGTTAAGAATAATGTAAACAATAGCTTTTGCTCTCTTGTCCGCCAGGAAAACCAAAGCTTTATGTTTTGTCTTTATCAGGTCTTTGATTACTTAAAGTTAAAACTTGTCAATGTTAAACCAGCAAAGTTTTGCTAACAACTATATAACCCTACATATTTGCCTTTGGAATCTCTTATTGCCACCTTGGTTAAACAAATAAGATTCGTAATGATCTGTAATCCTATTTAGGATATGTTTTATAACTTTGTAAGGTTTTAACAAACTTCCCAGGATTTAAATTGTAAATGAAGTCCTTTTGACCATTCAGACTTATTTGGTATGTTAAGTTACTTGGAAAAGCTCTCCCAAATAATGGTAAACCTTAGGTTGTATTGCATAAGTAAATGCTATAAATGCTCAAATACATATGCAACTCCTAAAATTTTAATATGTTTCGGTAATAAGGTAATCACCTGATATTCTGATCATAAAATGTTATGTGTCACAGAAATCACTGAATTTCCCTGTCAATTGCATATAAGGAACTCTCATAAGATCTTTAGCAATGTCCATTTCTGAGATTGTGTCATTCATAATTGTTCTCATTCTCAAAACATATTTCATCTTCAAGAAGATTCATAAAAAGGACTTTTAGGACAAACACAGGTATTTGACATCTTTAAAAATCCTAAAACTAAAATGGGTAAGAATTTCCAAAATGAAAAAGCTGCATTCAAACTGAACAAGAATTAGGAACATGGGACTAAATGAACTGAGAGGAAGATTATAGTTTTGTGATTCTTGTTGGAAATATTGTTGGATCTCTAATATTTGCTCACCCAGATTAAGGAAACTTTCTCTTAAGATATCTATGATATACAGGAATGTGATAAAGTATTCATTTGTCAACAAACTATAGTATTGAACTTTTCTCTCTACCTAAACCCTCTGAAATTCACAAACTCAGTGAGTGTTCTTTCTCCATGGCAATCATACTTACTTGCGTAAGTTCAATAAGAATATGTTCACCTTGTAACAGGATGCCATTGGAAATACTGGTTATTTTACCAAGGCTTTGACTGGAATGTCATATTTGAGAGACATGCATAGACTCAGATATGACCACACAGCTCTAAGGAACTAAGGTTTGAAAGAGCAGACCTAGGCCGGCTGACTCCATTTTGTTCTGTGTCCTCCATCTTGTTCTGTGTCCTCCATCTTGTTCTGCGTCCTCCATCTTGTTCTGTGTCCTCCATCTTGAGTGACTATGTCCCCAACATGGCCCCCTTTCCAGGAAAACCGCAGAAAGAAATTCCTGCTCAAACCTCAGACCACGCCTCCTCCCCTTGAGTAACTTCCCTCTCACCCATTCAAACTTCCCGTTCAAACCACGTCTGGTGACCTGTGCAACGGGACTCTGACCCTTCCCCAGCCAATTGGCTAAGGCCACGACCATTACCCCACCAACCACCTCTAGATCCCTATAAAACCTTTATGCTTTTGAAACTCGCACTCTCTCTCCGGCATCTCACCACTGCGTCAGTGCAGGTAGGGGATTGAACTCGAGCTAGCTCGAATAAAGGCTCTTTGCTTTTGCATTGGACTCAGCTCCCTGGTTGTCTTTGGGGATCATGAATTCTGGGCATAACAGGTTCACTTTAAGAAACATGGAGGCATAAACCCCCTTGGAAATGTTAGCCTGATACCTTGCTTACAGAGTTCCCAGCAGCCTTACCAGGTGAGTAAAGAATGTCACTTCCTGGCAGGTGCAGGAACCTCAGGATATCTTGGGGACTGTGTGAGGAGGAATTTGCATAATTCTACAGGTATTGCAGGACTGTCTGATGGCAAGTACTTGTCTTGGCTTCTGGTCTTGAGAGCCTACCAAAAGTTCAATCTGGAGATTCCTTACAAAAGTTTCCAGCAAAGCAAACTTTAAAAGATCTACATGATAAATTGCTGTTCTTGCTGAGCTTATGTAAATAATTAGGCCAAGTTTGTTGAAACTTGGTTTGGTCTACAAATGAATTAATCTTGATTTGGCTATCCCTGGAAATGAGGGTTCTTAGAAAAACTATGTTTCAATAATGCACCTTTATGGATGTTAAACTTTAGTTTTCATTGTCTTTAAATGTTATTTGCCTAAACTAGACAACTTGAGGTAAACTTCAGAAAAATTGTCACAATGGCACAGGTGTGGACAATTTTTTGCTTCTTGTTCTGTGGGGGTAATAATAAGACCCCATGGGCATATGATTACTTAAACAACTGGAAAGTGGGATGGATTCCCCCAACAATTGTATGTAAAGACTTTTATCACTGTAAGCCTATCAATAGATAAGGACTATAGTACTTCATTAAATTATTCACTTGAGGCCGGGTTAATTCATAAATCTCTAAGTGAATATGCAAACCATATCCTCCCTAAACCTAATCTGACAGCTAATAGAAACTCATACCATTTACACCCAAAGACCTGGTTTATTAAAAAGATTGAAAGTCTAATACAGCAGCAGATCTAACTCCAGAATGGAAGGGCCCCTATGGGGTCATATTGAGTACTCCCACTGCAGTAAATTAGAGGGACACTCTTCATAGGCTCCTATATCTCAAATAAAACCTGTACCCCCTTTAATCAATGAGCAAACTAATGTGCCTTCTCATTCCTGTGAGCCTCAAACTTCTCTTATGGTGGTTGTACCTTTCTTTTTCATTATCCTTTCCCCAATTTATACTAACAATTCCTTCTTACAATGGGCCATTCAAAAGTATCACCACAGACATTTGAGTTACAAACCAGAAAGACCAATCTGATTCCTGCTGCCTGTTTCCACTCCATCTGAGGATGCGTCAAGCCTGACATCTAAAAATCTCACTGGCAGCACTGGTAGACACTGGGTTTGTAATTTTCTCTATCCATTAACCTTTATTTTTGTTATAAAAATGTCTTTTTAAAATTACCTGATTGCTTACTAAACAGGAAAGCACCTGTTGGCTAAACACCACCTGTTACACAGTTAAGGTATTTAAAAAAATTTTTTTTGATGTTTATTTATTTTTGAAAGAGAGACAGAGGGAGAGGCGGAGGGGCAGAGAGAGAAGGAGTCACAGAATCTGAAGCAGGCCCCGAGCTGTCAGCACAGAGCCCGACGTGGGGCTTGAACTCACGGAGTATAAGATCATGACCTGAGCTGAAGTCGGACACCTAACCGACTGAGCCACCCAGGCACCCCACACAGTTAAGTTCTTAAATGACTCTTAAAATAACATATTATTCAATGCTAAAATAGCCCAAATT